ATGGGTGCTGGGCTCTTTGGGGGGGGGGACACCCCCATCTCTTGCCCCTCGGGGTGCAGAACTTGCCACGGGGTGATGGTGGGGGCTGAGGGCACCTTCTCCATGACCTGAAGGTGGCTTTGCCGTGTCCCCCCAGCTTCTCCCAACCTTTCTGGCAGAGCAGGGAGGGTGAACCCCCCCTTCCTGTGCCCCCCCTCGAGGCTGAACCCCTCTTTTCCTTCTGCTTTTCTCCCCCCTCTCCTCCTCCTCCAGCCTCTCCGGGTGAAGGTGGCCGAGCAGCTCCTGGCTGAGATCGGTGAGTGAGGAGCTCCCAGGTCCATGGGTGGTCCCTTGGGATATGCCAAGTTTGGGGACTGGGGGTCCCGAGCTCTTCCCCACCCCCCATAAGGTGGTCCCTTATGGGCTGATGTCTCCACTTGGATGTGCCAACTGGAAGACTTGGTTTCCAGCCTGGAAACCAAGACCTTGGAGCTTCCAGAAGGTCCCCTTGGGAGTTTCTCCTCCTCTGTAGAGCTGGTGACACCCCGTTGTCCTCTTCCCCCCGTCCCCAGAGACTCGCCTGCGGAACGGGGACGATGTCCGCGCCGCCCTCTTTGAAGCTCAGGAGATGGTGATGCCCGAGATCCAGGAGCAGATCCAGGACTACAGGTAACACCTGCTCCCCACCCCGCCATGGACCACCCCACCTTGGATCTCCCCGGGTTCCTCTGGGTGGTTGGTGGTTGTCCTCGTGGCCCTGAGCCCTGTCCTCGGCAGAACGAAGCGCACCATGGGCCTGGGGAGCCTCTACGGGGAGAACGACCTCCTGGACTTGGATGGGGACCCCCAGAAGGAACGGCAAGTGGCCGAGAAGCAGCTGGCCCAGCTGGGTGACATCCTGTGAGTGCTCTGGGGGACCATCACCCCCCCCTGGATTTTGGGTGGGAGGGTGTGGGGAAGGGGGTGGGAGATGGGATTAGCTCCGCTCCATCGTCCTTCTTCATCCCCCCAACCTTTGCCCGTGGAGGTGGGAAGGGGAATTGTGGGGGTGGTCTTTTTTTGGTGGTGCCCGAGGACAGGATGAGAAGAAATAGGCACAAACTTGAGTATAAGAAGTTCTACCTCAACATGAGGAGGAACTTCTCTTTGAGGGTGGCAGAGCCCTGGAAGAGGCTGCCCAGGGAGGTGGTGGGGTCTCCTTCTCTGGAGACATTCAAACCCCACCTGGACACATCCCTGTGGGATCTACTCTGTGTAGACTCACTTCAGTGGGGGGGTTGGAGATGATCTCCAGAGGTCCCTTCCAACCCCATACGAGTCTCTGATTCTATATGAAGTTCCACCTCAACACGAGGAGGAACTTCTGTACTTTGAGGGTGGCAGAGCACTGGAAGAGGTGGTGGAGTCTCCTTCTCTGGAGACATCCCAAACCCACCTGGACGCGTTCCTGTGGGACCTACTCTTGGTGGACCCACTTCAGTGGGGGGGTTGGAGATGATCTCCAGAGGTCCCTTCCAACCCCATGGGATGCTATGATTCTATATGAAGTTCCACCTAAACATGAGGAGGAACTTGTTCACTTTGAGGGTGGCAGAGCCCTGGAAGAGGTGGTGGAGTCTCCTTCTCTGGAGACATCCCAAACCCACCTGGACGCGTTCCTGTGGGACCTACTCTTGGTGGACCCACTTCAGTGGGGGGGTTGGAGATGATCTCCAGAGGTCCCTTCCAAGCCTGGGGCAGTGTGCTATGATTCTATATGAAGTTCCACCTAAACATGAGGAGGAACTTGTTCACTTTGAGGGTGGCAGAGCCCTGGAAGAGGTGGTGGAGTCTCCTTCTCTGGAGACATTCAAAACCCACCTGGACACGTTCCTGTGGGACCTGCTCTGGTTAGACCCACTTCAGTGGGGGGGTTGGACTTGATGATCTCCAGAGGTCCCTTCCAACCCCATGTGATTCTCTGATTCTATATGAAGTTCCACCTCAACATGAGGAGGAACTTCTTTGCTGTGAGGGTGGCAGAGCCTTGGAAGAGGTGGTGGAGTCTCCATCTCAGGAGACATTCCCAACCCTCCTGGCCACGTTCCTGTGGGACCTGCTCTGGGTAGACCCACTTCAGTTGGACTTGATGATCTCCAGAGGTCCCATCCAACCCCATATGGTTCTATGATGATTCTAATTCAGAGCCTGGGGCGGTGAGGGACAGGGACATGGACAGGGACATGGACAGGGACAGGGACATGGACAGGGACAGGGACAGGGGCTGAGCAGAGGAGCCCCTTCCAAACAAAACCTCTTTTCTCCCTCCCCAGGTCAAAATACGAGGAGGACAGGAGGTGAGTGTCCCTGGGGGGGTGGGGTGGAGACACAGGAGCACCCCCTTCCCTCTCCCCGTCCCCGGGGGCTCTCGGGGTGGCCCTGGGGAAGGGGGAGGACACACTTTGGGGTCTTCCTGTGCTGGGTCCATCCCCCTTCCCTCCCCATCTCACCTTCTCCAACCTCTTCTTGCCTCTCCTCCCTTCTCACCTGCCCACATCCCAACCCGGGGGTGCTCTGTGTCCCCCCCGCCAGGGGAGGGGGATGTCCCAGCCTTCCCCAACTTCACCTCTCCCATCCTGGTGGTGGATCTCCAGCCTGGTGCTCTCCTCTTTTCCAGCTCCCCCATGGCCTTTGCCCTCAGCACCTACATGAACCACACGGGCATCCGCAGCCGCGAGCCCCGGGTGGCCGGCACCAGTGAGAAGTCACAAGCCCTCCCAGACAAGGACAAGTGGTTGCCCTTCTTCCCCAAGACCAAGAAGGTGGGTGGTGGCCCCATTGTCCTTCCCCCCAAGCCCCAGGGCCAGGCTCTGGCTGCTGGACCCAGAAAAGAGGTTCTCCATCCTTGGAGAACCCTTCTCCCAGAGGGACAACCCCTTGGACAACCCCCTTCTCCATCCTCTCCCATAGGTATGGGTTTGATGGGTGGACTGGTCAGTGGATGAGGAACTGGCTGGATGGTGGCATCCAGAGGGTGGTACTCAATGGCTCGAAGTCCAGATGGAGACCAGTCACAAGTGGTGTCCCTTGGACAACCCCCTTCTCCATCCTCTCCCATGGGTATGGATTGGATGGGTGGACTGGTCAGTGGATGAGGAACTGGCTGGATGGTCACATCCAGAGGGTGGTGCTCAATGGCTCGAAGTCCAGATGGAGAGCAGTCACAAGTGGTGTTCCTCAAGGGTCCGTGCTGGGGCCAATACTGTTTAACATTTTTATCAATGATATAGACAGGGAGATTAAAGGCACCATCAGCAAGTTTGGGGTGACACCAAGCTGTGTGGTGTTGTGGATACACCAGAGGGATGGGATGTCATCCAAAAGGACCTGGAGAGGTGGGCCCAGGTGAACCTCATGAGGTTCAACAAGAGCAAATGCAAGGTTCTGCACCTGGGCCAGAACAATCCTGGCCACCAATACAAACTGGGGGGTGAGGTATTGGAAAGCAGCCCTGAGGAAAGGGACTTGGGGGTGCTGGTGGAGGAGAAGCTGGACATGAGCAGGCAGTGGGCAGCTGCAGCCCAGAAGGTCAGTCCCATCCTGGGCTGCATCAAAAGCTGCGTTGCCAGCAGGTCCAGAGAGGGGATTCTGCCACTTTGCTCTGCTCTGGTGAGACCTCACCTGGAGTCTTGTGTGCAGGTCTGGAGCCCTCAATAGAAGAAGGACATGGACCTGATGGAGAGGGTCCAGAGGAGGGCCACGAGGATGATGAGGGGGATGGAGCACCTCTGCTCCGAGGACAGGCTGAGGGAGCTGGGGTTGTTCAGCCTGGAGAAGAGGAGGCTCCGGGGAGACCTAATAGCAGCCTTCCAGT